ATATAAATTATTTATGTTCACACACATTTATTTATTCCATTTTTGCTACTACTAATAAAGCATATTTAATATTATTTGAAAAGTTACAATTAAAGATGCAAACAATGTAATTATATAAATTTAACATCAAAGAAGAACAGTAAAAATTTAATCAATAAACTATATTTTAATCATTCAAATTTCAAATTACATAAATTATAAGATGTAAATATGAATATTATTTATTATATTAATTAGTTTTTATTAAAGCATTAACTTGTTTATTCGATTGTAATTAATACTGAACTCTTGGGATAAATACATATTTTTTCAATAAAAAATTATATCAATTTTTCGGAATTTTATAAGACTAGTATTTGAAAAATAACAAGGTTCCAATTAAACATCATTTTTAAGCTCAAATTTTATAATTAGTCGACTTTGAAAATTCCAAAAAGTAGTGAAAATTAAATAATCATATGCAATAAGGGGGCTCCATTTTGAATTTTTGTACAAAGTTATAAATTAATGATTAAACATTCAAGAAATGGGAAAAAATTAAAAAAGTAGGATATAATAATTTTTGAAATAAAAGAATATATAGTGTTATGGCATTTTTTTATTAATTGTTTTCTATCTCTAAACAAAGATAACCATATATAAATAAGAATGCTATTTTATTTAGAAATAATGTATATTTCATTTTATTTATTTTTAAATCCAATTAAGTCCTTCTTCTAGACCTTCTCCTGTTATTGCACAACATGGTTAAATATACCAATTTTTAGATATTTTTTATATCTACAATTCAGAGGCGATTTCTTCTGAGTTCATTTTCATCAGGTCTTATTTATTTGCATATATTAAGAGTGGCAAACCGTTTAGCGAAGGTTCAAGCATCAACTTATGTAGTTCTCCAGTTACTTCAGTAATTCTGTCTCTATCTGAACAATCTATAACGTAAATGAATCCTTTGCCGCTCTCAAAGTAAGGTTTCCAAATTATTCTTATTTTATCAGCACCTCCTACATCCCATGATATTATTTGAAACTATTTAGTCTTTACTTTTTCAATATTAAACCCGATAAAAGGAATTTCAAAGTCTATATCTCCTAAGTTTAATTTATTTAGAATTGTTGTTTTTCCTGTAAAGTCAAATCCTAGCATTATTAATTAAGATTTCTTGCCCATTATAACATTCGAAAAGGGATTCCCCATCAAGACAATGTTAAGTTATTATTTATATTAATAAATCATTTATTTCTAATAAGTAATTTATATTTTAGCATTAATTAATGGATTCTGATAAATTATTATTTCAAATTAACAGCTTGAATTTACAATAGAGTTTATCTGTTTCCGACACTTTATTCAATCATCTTGTATCTATTTAGATATAAATGAATTTTATCATAAATTAATCCCTTCTTATTAATGCAGAATATAAATTGTTCATATTAGGAGAATCAGAACTTACAATAATAGTCATATAATCTGATTTTATTTTAAAAATTTAACAATTTGACATATTAGTTTCAATATTTATTCTGTACATGAATTAAAAATGTCATACTATGAAAAATTTTAAGATACCTTGATCTATAATAATATAGCCCTTAAGGTTCCAACTATGAATATTAAGTACTACTATTACCATACAAGTATCTGAATAATCTAGTATCTAAATCCTTTCTTTCCAAAAGTTAATGTCCCTATGGCATTCCTATTTTCAAGAGTCTCATAAAAGTATCAACGTCTTTATATCACTCCCTATAAGAAAATAGTTAGAAAAAACAAGCATTTATTTCATATTATCTGAATAATTTATATTATGCTCTTAACTTCTGTACAATAAAGCCAATTTAAGAGTTAATTTGAATTGAATTTTGATGATAAATCAACAATTTCATTTATTTTAATTCTAAAGGGGTATATTTTGAATATTTCTATGCTAACAAACTTTAAACTCTTTTAAATTTTTTTATTTCAATCTCTCATAATAATCACAAGAAAATAAAAGTTGCGAAAATTCCCTAATAACTATCTACAAAATTTCACTTTTTTTGTGCCGAAAATTTGCATAATAATTCATCTTGGAAAGGTTGAGATTTTATTTGGCTGTAGTAATTAAAATTTGTGTATCTATTTATGTAAAATCAAAATCTTATTTCTAAACGTTTAAATAATTTAACATTGCAATAAAGATCAAAAATGATGAATTTTTAGAAATACGAAAACTTTGAGAATGAAATATGATATATTTTAATTGAAGTGAGATTTTACAATATCTACATTAAGCTAATACTTTTGATTATTATTCACTAATCATAATTAATTTTATTAAGCTCTTCTTAAGTATCAACGTCTACTTCCACCCAAATACCAATTTTTTTCCCATTTTCATATATTCCTATATAAGCTATGTTTTCAGAATAGATAAATCCATCGCATATTTCAATCCACTTCCCTTTTTTCACTCCTAAGCCATTTTCATCATAATCTCCACCACCACTTTTAATTTAAATATAGTTGGTATATTTTACATCATTTCTATTTTTTGATGCTCAAAATCCTTCCTACCCCAAATTTCCCATTTTCCAACTTTTATACCGTTTTTATATACTCCATTATACGTCACTTATGTAATATGTTTAAATCCATCAGTGATTTCAGTCCAATTCCCAACTTTAAGTCCTTTACTTTCTTCATCATATGTTCCACCTCCTCTAAAGATTAAATTGATTTCTCATTTTTACATCTATATTAATTCAGTATTGGCATCCTTTGACCAAATATCCCATTAACCAACTTTTACACCATTTTTATACATCCCTTTAAAATTTACTTAAGACCAATCAGAAAAATCGTCATTGATCTCAATCCAATTTCCAATTTTATTTTCTCGTCCCTCTTCATCATATAATCCCCCACCACTTAAATTATATAACTGTTAGATTACATATAAGTATTGTTATACAGAATATTCCATCTACCAATTTTCTTCCCGTATTTATACTATCCATTCAAAATTACTTAAGAAAATGCATAAAATCCATCACTTACATTAATCCAACTGCCAATTTTCAAACCTTGGCCTTTTTCATCATATTCTCCACCACCACTAGCAGTATTAATTATTTTTGAAAATAGTCTTACATCCATTGAATGTTTCCTTTGTCAGAAAAAAGTGTTTCCCATCGACCAATTTTCTAACCTTTATTGTATTCACCCATAAACGTTACTATTGACTAGTCAAAAATTCCATCACTCACTTCTATCCAATTCCCAATTTTAATTCCTTCATCATAAGATCCACCACCACTAACAATAAATAGATAATGCTTTAATTTTACATTTTTGATCTTGCATCCCAAAAGCTATTCCAATTACCGATTTTTTTACCTTTATTATATTCACCATGATAAGTAATACAAGAATGGAACCAAAATCCATCAAAGATATCAACCCAGTGTCCAACTTTTACTCCTTGGTCATAGAACCCACCACCACTAATAATTTAGTTTATAATGATAATAATTTTACACCAAATAATCGATTCCTTTTTCATTAAACTAAATATCCCACAAACCAATTTTGATACCGTTTTCATAAACTCCAATATAAGTAATATTTGACTGATCCCAAAAACTATCACTTGCCTATATCCATTTCCCATGTCTTTAACCTAACGGATTATACCTTCCACCACCACTAATTCAACGATATCATTTTTAATACATTTCTGTTTATTTGTATAGATGTTTCCAGATCCCTTACCTTTTATCATTCATATATTCTCCATATTCATATATCTATGCCTAACTTTTCAATATATCAAAAATTTGTACTTCTAAAAATTTTTGGATATTTCCTTCCATAGGCCTTATTTTTCTCCTTCAGCATAATATCCTCCAATTCCTTGAAGAACTCCTCCCTTCCAAATTGTTATCCATTTTCCAATTTTCTAATTTTTCTTGTCACAACTTCCTATCCAATTTAGAAATTTGATTTAATCCAAATTAGTTAAGTAATCAGGTTCCTTAGTTTCATCTTTAATAGTGTCTCTAAATATATTAAACAACAAAATATAACAGTCTAATTATTTATCCCTCTTTTATGTAATAGATTTCTTATTTCTTCAAAAATATTTAGAACGTTGAGTAAATGAATCTATTCTCCAGTTCGTCCCAAGATATTCCACGAAATTCATTAGTGCCTTAACATAATCTCGGCTAAGACACTTTTTCATTCAAATTTTCTTAAACAATCATTTCTACAAAAAAAAATAAATATTTTGAAATAATTTTTAATATTGTAAAAGAAGCTCTTATTCTTTCTATAGAAATCAAGATATTTCAATTTTTTTGTTGCCAATATATATTTTTAAGTGGAATATTATTAATGCCAGAAATATAAGATTCCCAAATCCTTTAAACCTTCTGATTCTTCTAATGATGTTGATCTAAGATCTAAAATAGCAATGAATTATCAAAGATCAAAATTCAGATAAATTAAGATTATTTGAAAGGCTATGAATTGATTGTCGAAATGTATTTAAGTAGTATTTTTATGGTGTGAAATTTTCACAATAATTACAATTATATATGTTATTTAAAATGATTATTCCGAGTTACTTGATTGGGGCATCAATAATAAATGTTCCGTATTACTGAAAAATGTGTTGAATGGCATTTGAAAGTTAACTGTTTTTGAATTAAAGGTTACATGATTGATGAAATAAGCTTGTTCAAGGAGGGTTTCTTTAAAGATGAAGCCATTTCTGAAAAGAAAGTCATTAAAATTAATTTAAATCACCTCCAGTTTTATTAAAAAAAGCGAAAATAAATACAATTAAAATTGTTGTTACTATTAATAATAAAAATAATTATTTTACAATATAATAGAATTAAAAAAAAAATGGCAAATTCAAATATGTTACATAAATAGATAGAATCTTCCATAAAAGGATTAGAAATGGATTTAGATGTATTAAATTAATATCAAAATCATTTTAGTCGATATTTGATAATATTAGCAATTTCATCGATCAATAATTCATTATGGATTCTCCAATTAAGTTATGCAATCCTAAAAATGAGTTAAGTTGGCCAAAAATTTTTAAATTCCATTTAATTGAATCAGAGTTTTAATTAATGATGCTTTAAATTGTAAAACCATTGATCAATTACAAAATCAAAGATCAACTTCATTACTAATTACAATCAGATGAACCACATTTAAAAAAATCAAAATAAACAGAATTTACATAAAAATAGGAATTAACTCTGGTTCAATCACCATCTTCTTAATTGATTTAAAAACCATTAACTTATTAAATTATTAACAATAATTCTTTTCAGGAATAGAAACATTGTCGTGTAATAGCTGCCAATAAAGATTGCTCAATAGTAGCATTTAGTTGTTATAGTCAAATAATAATAAATGAATTCAACTAAGGAATGATGAAAGAAATTCAAGTCCTAAATGAACATAGAGATTATATATATACACTGAATTTTATGAAAAAATCAGATCAGCTTATATCTGGAGATAATGGCGGATCTATTATAATTTGGGGTATATCAAATGATAATTTATGGTATTCCTCATAACTAATTAAAGGACATAACAACTATATTATGTGTTTATTAATGAATAATTAGGAAGATCTTATTATATCGAGTAGTGGTGATAATATTATTAAATTTTGGATTAACTAAGGTGAATGGATTTTTCAATAATCAATCACTAATCATACTGATTCCGTTAATTAAATAAGTTTAAACGACCAGCAAGATAAAATTGTTTCTTGTGGATATGATAATACTATTTTAGTTATTGAATATAATCACTAAAATAATAGGTGGATTGTAATATAAAATATAAATGTTGATTGTTTAGGATTTCGTATATGTTTTATCAATAATGATCTATTTTCATTTCAACCTTATCAAGGAAATTTGATAGATTTCTATGAATTGAAAAGTGAAACTAAAAAGTTTACTAAATCTAAGACATTGATTGTAAATGAAGGGAATGATGGCTGGTAATTGTTTCCATAATAATATATTAAAGAAAAATAGCTATTAGTTAGTAAGCATGACAAATTTGTAAATTTTATTACAAAGTCATAAAATAATATCTTTTATGTAGAATAATCTATACAATTTAATACAAATTGTACATTTGGATTGTTAAGTAATGATGGAGAGTATTTTATAATATGGGATGATTAATCTCAATAAATTTAAATAAGGCAATATGGAAAAAAATGAAAATTTTATATATGAATGAAATATATATATAATGATAGCATTTTAAATCAATGAGATTAAAGAAAAATTGTGAGTAGGTAATTTCAAGTAAATTATTAGTACAATGTTTTAATAATTAATTCTCTCTCATTTTTATTTTTATTATTTATATGATGTTTAATTTAATGCTTTCTAATTATAAATTGTTTTCATTTCCAATATCTGATTTATCAAATAATATCTATTTTAAATGAAAAAATGGTGGCTTTAATTGATTGTGGAAGCTCTTTTTATACCAATCGCCAAGAGAACTATCATTTTGTGGAAGCTAATTATTGATAGACATTAATCCTTCAATCGGATATGCTTAAAAATCTTGCCCATCCTAAATGTATCGATGCAAGTGAAATAAAGAAATTAAAATTAATCTACAAAAACTTGTGTTTACTTTTTTAGGTGATTGATGGATATTCTGACTGAGATTACTATGTTTCTCTTACCAATTTAACATTATAATAAGTGGTTGATTTTTAGAAATTGAGATTTTGATTTTAAGCAACAACTTTCTGTGTTTTTCTTTATCTAGATTTTTAAAGGGAATTTTTTATAAAAAACAGAAGTTCATCCTATAAGGACAATTGATAATCACACCCTCAACTACTACACCTTTAAAATATTATAATTTAAACATCTTTATATATTTCTTAACCAGAATAAAACTACTTGCCAAGAACTATTTATATAGCCCAAATTAATTTTTTTAATTATTGTTTCAAGTATTTCTCAATTGTTTTGAAAGGATTTTGATTTAATTGGTTTATTATCATATCCAATATCAAGTGTATCTTCTTAAATTATATTATTTCAATTCATAATACTTTGTTTTAGTAATAAAATTTCTAATTGCTTATAATCCATATTTTTCTTTTTCATCGGCAAGTATTTTATCCGTAATTAATCACTTATTCAAAGGTAATTTATTTAAATTAGATATATTTGCAGCTAGGTTATAATGAATATATATTCTAAAGCTAATGTTTCATTACTTTGTTCGTCTAAATCCCCTAAATACTTTATTAATGCTGGTGAATACCTTTTCGATCAGGTGTAGATCCCAAGATTCATGAGGATTTTTTATTTTATTCCTAATTGCTATTTAGCGTAAATCTTGGAATTGTTAATTGAATCAAAGAATTTATGGACGATGGAGCACTTTTCTTAAATATAAAATCGCAATTATTTTTTAATTGTGGTCTTCTCCTTTTATAAGTAATTTGAATATTGCCCTAAATTACTTTTAATCATGATTTGGTCACAAATTTAATTAATCTTTATTTACTTCTTGAGACTGAATGATGGGATCAAATTTGACTTATTAAACTTAATTTTTCCTCATTTAGTCGTCAGGGTTATCCTATTGATGTATCTATTATTCCCTGCAATGTAAAAATGACTAAGCATCTAATACACACAAGAAAGAGTTAATGATTTCTTATGATAGATTTTCTACATCGGAATTATTGTTAGTATGATCATTTGGATTGAATCTCATGTATAGAATGAGAGTTTTAAAACAAAGAATAATAAAATATTCAAATCGTTTATCAATTCTTTCTAAATATTTCATTCAATAAAAGAAATTTCTTAGCACAATTCATCTAATAAATCTATTGATTGTCCAAAATTAAATAATTGTAAATAGATAAAATAAAGGATCTAATATACTGCGGATGAATTCAATAATCATCTTTCTGTAATATTTGATTGGTTTTCATTAAATTAATGCTAATTAAAATATATTGTAATTTTTGACTATAGAGGATAGTTATGGATAATAATCCAGATTGATTCTAATAATTATTTCATTGTTTTATTCTTGGTTTTAAAAGTAGTGTTTCATGATTTTTCAACAGCATATAGATTTTTCGAGGATTTATTACTAAGAGATGAGGTTTATTTTAATAATATGATTTTATATGAAAAAAATAATGCTTCATAACTTTTAAAGCTAATCCTGTATATACTCCTTCTCATCTGATCCTGTTTCTAACGCTACTAAATACAATACTTAGGCTTCATCCTTGTTTCCTAATTCAAATAGTGAATCAGCTAATTATAAAATAATTGCGAATAATTTACCTTTTAGTCTTAAACTCAGAGGATTCATACATAAAGAAATGGCTTTTTCAAAGCAAACAATTGCATCTTTATATTTCTTTATAATGTGTAAAAATCAATATTTACAGAAAAGATTAGTGCCACACCTAAATTATGATCAAATTTACCTTTCTAAGTCCATGCTGTATCATTTTTAGGATTAATGGAAGTAGCAATGTCGTAGTAGTCAATAGCTTCGAAATATTTCTCTAAACTGCATAATGCTTAACCTATAAATTCATATATCGAAATATACTACCTTTGATAGTCCATGCAATATCATTTTAAGGATTTATTGAAATAGCTTTTTCATAGCACTCAATACAACTAATTTCAAAGCAATTTTGAATTGGCCTCATAAAATTATACATTAAATTACAATTGACAAATTTATCAATTTACTTAATTTATACTACAAAAACTTAATATTGTGAGAAAGAAGACTTATTTTGACCGTGGTTATTGAAATTATGAAAAAGAAGGCTTCAATTTTCGCAGTAGGCAGTTTTATTTTTAATGAAGATTAATTATTTGGAGTTTATATATTAAATTATTTTAAATAAAAAATTAAAGTAAAATTAATTCAAAACAGAATTTTTTTTGCTGCAAATTCATGTGAATTTACATCATTAACAAAAAATTTGCATTTCAATTAAAAAATTAAAGAATAATCTAAACGAAATGAATTAGATATCGAAAAAGAGAGAGAGATAGAAGTATAAATATGGATCTAGTAAATCCAAAATAGAAAACGCTATGTTATTGCTTAAGAACAAAATTCAGTATGAAATCATCAGAGGAAGGAAAATACAATACGAAAATCCTATATATCATAAGACAAAATTATAAAAATATTTTTATTTATGATGCAAATTAGAAAGAATTTATCTATATGGGTGATAGAAATGACGATTAGTCTTTAATAAAATTATCATTAATGTTCTCTCCTAAAGAAGAAAATGAACATTTAAACTTCTTAAATCCTAGAATGTCATTAGAGTAAGACTTATCAAAGAAATGTGAAAAAGTGTAAATGTAATCAAAGAAAAAATATTCAAAGTGAGTAAAATGAAATGGCTCAAATTCCTATATGAAGAGGATTAGTTCCTTTGTAAAAAATGTAAAAAAGTACCATACTGTTCTAGAACTTGTGAGTAAATAAATATAAATGATAAACAAGTGAGAAGAAAGGAAAAAAGAGGAAAATGAAACTATTGTTATCAAAAATAATTGTTAACCCTCCACTAAAAGATCACATAAAGAAATTTACATGAATTTTATAACATGGAATATAAGTTATTCTAGAACTGAAACTCACATTTTATAAAATAATAAATAGCTCATAGTATATGCTATTAAGAAGTAAAATAACTAAATTTAGCGAATAAATTAATTTTAAATATTATTTATAAAAGAACGGGTCAATACATTCAGGTTGCATAATTACTGATATTAACTATTTAGATATATCAAATATATTTATTAATAGAGATATGCCTTGAATATTTTGGTATATAGTAGATAACTCATTTGCAGATATAATCATTTTATATGATTATTCTAATAACACTAAGAAGTTTATCAGAAAGTAATTAAGATAGTAGAAATTAAAATTCTCATAATAATATCAGTCATCAATTTCCTTTTCAAAGAATTCTGTTAATCCTACAAAATTCTAAATTTTATTGATTCATTTTTGATAATTTATATAATTTAATGAAGCCAATAATTCAAAATTTCTTTTGATAATGGCTATAGCATCCTAGAATTTCTGTAAACAGTGTAATGCAGAACCTTTAGAAGTATAAATTTAAATTTATTACCTTTGTTAGTCCATGCAATATCATTTTTAGGATTAATTGATATAACTTTTTCCTAACAATATATAGCCTCTTCATACTTCTCTAAACTGTGTAATGCCGAACCTAGATAACAATTAATTGAGGTATATGACCTTTTTTGGACCATGCGGTATCATTGTTAGGATTAATCAAAAATACTTTTTCATAACAATCAATAGCCTCTTCATATTTCTGTAAACAGTGTAATGCTGAGCCTATAGATTAATATATTGAAATATATGACCTTTGTTACTCCATGCAATATCATTTTTCGGATTAATCAAAATTGCTTTTTCGTAGCATTCAATAGCCTCCTTAAATTTCTGTAAATCATGTAATGCAGAACCTTTATAATAATTCATTGAAATATATACCTTTATGATTCCATACTCTATCATTTTAAGGATTAATTGAAATTGCCTTGTCAAAGCTCTCAATAGATTCTTAGTATTTCTGTAAATTTTATAGTGCTACTCCTATTTCTAAAAAGATTGTAATACCAGTATCAAATATTTCCTCGAAGTTGAAAATTAAAGACCTCTCTTAATCTTTATTCACCTAATTAGATTCTTCTTTCTTAGAATCTTTTTTTTAAGCAGGATAGATTTAATCAACTACTTAATTTTATTTTGTTTCCTCAATCTTAATTGTTTCAAGAATATTATTTAATTGGAATATTTATTATTCTATTATAAATAAAAGATACATAGAAAATTTTCTTTCTCTTTTGAATAATAATGTTTAATTATGTGAATTTATTGCTTAAAAGTTTAATAATCCTGGTTTTAAAGTTGTTGATTCATATTTTCTAATATTTTAATATCCTAATCTATTGTTTTTGTGATCTATTCGAATTGATTTTAGAATTATTTAGAGATTTCTTAAATTTATTTCTTAGATTGATTTTTCTCTTGAATGAATTCATTTATAAATTAAACAATTTTGGTAAATCTAATACAATCATTAAAATGTTATGTATGATGCTTATTTAAACATTCGAAACAAAATTGAGTTGTATTTTAACAATCTTAATTTAAACAAAATCCTAATATTTCTTCGTTTTCATGGCTTAGATATTTGCATCTAAAGAGTTCCATTCAAATTCTATAAAATAATAAATATATAAAAAAAATTATGTTTGAAATTCAAATATCATTAATTAATGATATAACTAAATCATATATCTCAATCTCCTCAATTCATTTTTAAAAGCAACACTTTATCATACTTTATTAAGTCTCAACATCAAAAAAGGGGTGAAATTTAAACAATGTCCAAAAGTGTTAATACATATCAAAGGATTTAGCTCCAATTTAGTAAGTTATTAGCTTCAAAGATTTTATTTTCTTAACCCTAAGTACCTAAATCTACTTTTTAAATTTTCAATATACTAATTAATATTAAATAGTAAATTCATCATATAGTTAAGATGAAAGATAAAATCTTATATTTATAAATTCAAAATCAATTTTATACAATCTCAAAACCATTTCTAAATAATTTTTGGTTATATTAAAATAATTATTTCTTTATTCAAATTTTTCAGAGAAGAAAAATACAAAAATTAACATAGAAAATTCAGAACAATTAATTTATTGAATCATTCGAATATTCTTTCCTTTTTGACATTTGATGTCTTATTTATTTTATAAATTTCATCAATTTTACAAAATCATTAAATTGTTCCTAATTATTCTTCTGAATTATTAGATTGTAAGTTATTTCATTTGATCCACCATGCTGTTTAAATATTCAATTATTTTAATTATTTTAATTGAGTTGACTATTTCATCTTCTACGCTTGCCTATTCTTATATTTAATATATGATACTTTTATCCTATTATTTAACAGTAAAGTCGGCATTCTCTAAACATTCTTTGCATAGAGCCTTTCACCCTTGATTATTTTGATCAAATATAATGTTAACAACTGGTAACTTATGTCCTCAACAACAACAAAAATCTATTCTCATTTCTATCATATTTTGATTAAACATTTAATTAAAATGATAATTGGATTAATAATTAATCCAGATAGTTATATAAGAATTCTAAGATTTTCTTTTATATGATTGGTAGTCCAAACAATATTTATTAATGAAAATCCATACCAAAATCTTTCTAGCCTTCTTAAAAGTGCTGTGGCTATTTTTATTGTGCTACAAAATTCTAAATGTTATAGAATTAGAGCAAAGAACATAAATCTGGTTATTATTGTTAAAATCCATCTAGCTTATTCTCAATATTTAAAACATTATTCTTTTAAAATATTACTTTTAATTGGAAGAAATTCTTCTGTTCTTATAAAATTGTTAATATTCGATTTAAATATATTCAAATTTATAAAATTTAGTAATGCACTGCACTAAAGCAACAATTAGATTTAAGCCCTTAGAAACATAAGAATATCAGAATTCATCTTATCTCTCGAGTTTATCCCTTAAACTTACGTAACTTAAGTCAAGGTTATCCTATTCTGGCATCTTAATAAAATCATAGTTCTCTTTTCATCAGAGTCAGTACCACAAAATAATCGCTCAGGTAAACAAGATATCAAATTTTTTGTATAGTTTTGAGTTTGAGTTAGTCAATAATGAAAGTTAAATTCAATTTTAATTACCCATTAGTTCTAGTATTAAATAGAAGAATGAAAATAGTAAATTATTTTCAATTCTGATTTAATATTGAGGATGAATTAGTTAAAGGATATCTCCTTCTTATTACCTAAAGGTTTATAAATATAAAAGCATTTTAACTGTCACTCCATGTTGAGATAATTACTCATTTTATACTAATCACTTTAGTTCACAATCTAATTCCTTAGAAAAAAGATTCTATACACCATACTTCTATCTTAAATATATCCAAAAAGTTACCTTCTCTTACAACTTGATTTTAGATCTCATCTGTCCAATTTCACCTAACTCCCCAATCATGAAGTACATCAAACTTCATTTTATTGCATACCTCCTAAATTATTTCTTTGTTTATACCTTTATAATACCTTATTCCCTAACTTTCTTAATCTATTCAAAGTGGAAGATTATAAAAGATTGTTATCTTAAAATAGAGTCACAAAAGTTATCATTAATCACTTCTTACCTCTCACATCAACTTCTTTGAAAGCAGTATATCTAAAGTTAAACATTCAATTCTTTGTTATTTTTCCATCTGGTAAACACTTCAGACGAACTTTTTCTAAATTTTTCGATCAAGAATATTTTAATTTTATCAGTCAATTTTTTCTTGAAATTATTCGTTTTCTATTAATTCTATCTATAAAATTAAAAGTATTAGATTGGTACTAAATTAGTCCCAGTTTGGTAGAAGAAAAAGAGTTGAATTCTCTTTTAGAAAAAGGTTAGCAAATTACTTAACAATAACGCGATTGCTCACAAATACCTGAGCTTAAGCAGCAAAGTCAATACTAATTTTCTTCCTATAGTTGCATATCCAATATCAAAAATTCAATTTGCATTAATTTAATTTTGAAACGATTAAATTTTTACACAAAGTCAATCAAAATTAGATTATTTAATAGGGTAATATCAATGGTTTAGTTGTACAGTAAAAACCCTTAGGAGAGGTATTAAATCACTTTAATGATTTATCAAAAAACCCATTAATAAAATGGAATATAAATTCATTATTTCATAAAATTATCAATTATGAAGGTTAAAAGTTGGAAAAGCTTATATGGCAAGCCTTACGTTTTTCTCTTTTAATTTTACTGGTTGATTGTACACGGCGTAGCACCTACACATAGCTGCAGCGCAAATTCTAATGCACAAACAATCTAGGGTTGGATAATGTCTCCCTACATTTAATACTTGGAATTCTTCTTGTAAGAAGTAAACTTGAAAGACTTCTGCATTGGCTACAATTGGGGTATTGTTCCGCAACAGGTTTTCCACTCTCACATAGCTTTGGAATTCTCAACGCATCGCTTTCCTCTTGCTTATTTTCTTTTCTTTCTAGAGTCCTATTTATCCTACCCACCTATGCGTTTACTGATTATTTCTTATTTAATGAGGTAATAAACAGAATGCTTTTAAGTAGTCTATATTATATTTTGTTAAATCAATATTACATGCCACATTTGATTAAAAATACATGATTCTACTTGTATTTTAATGGTACCTACCTTGCATCTATTTTATGATACTGCAGCTTTAAATTGTTAAATTGTTTCACTTGATTAAACTTTGATAATGGAGATTGCTAAGTTGCAATTTTGTCTCAGCTTCTTGCAAATAAATTCAATCAATATCTATATTCAGAATGTCTTAGCTTAACGATCTAGTTCTGGAAACTTCATAATTAGTGGTTGCAACATGATTTAATATAAATATTATTATCACTGAATTTTATTGTTATGAGTAGCTGAATCGCAAAACTCTACTACGCTTACTTGTTATTTCAAATGCTAATCCATTAATAAATATCATTTCAAAACTATTTGGCTCCTAAACCCCAATCAATTATTTTAGAAATACTTTAACCTGAGATTAATTCTTATTAACTATTGGCTTCAAAATGGTTGAGACTTCAGAATATAAATGTACTTAAATGATTGATACCATAAGTTAAATAGAAATTCAGCTAATCATTTTTCAATTCAACCATTATTCTAATTATTCCTTAAGTCATAATCATTGCTACTTAATTCAGTGATTTATTTAGTTGTTTCTATAGCTGACTGAATTTAAAATGTGGTTTGTTGTTTGATATTTTTCTTGGTTTGATTGAGCACTTCCAAATTTCTGAACCACATGCTTCATTAATAAGGAACACGCCAAACTAGGGTAGACTTTCTTTGTAATACTAAGAGTTCAATTTATAACTGAATTAAAGGTTTTAATAACATTTTTATTGTTGATTCAAATTTTGTTATTTTATTAATAATAAGATTGAAAAGAGATCTCAAATCATGGCTATCCCTAAAAAACCTAAAATCTCAAATAATATTTATTATAGGTCAGATTTAAGAAGTTGACTAACATATTAAGAGATTCATCATATCGATAATCGGAAATATATGCTTTCTTAACTATAATAATCAATTTTAATATAAAAATTAAAAGAGCAACTATCTACATCAATAAGATTACAGTAATCACATTATTAAATTAAGATTTGATTCCTTTACCTAGCTTGCATTAAATTAAAGTATAGAAAATACGAATATTTGCAGTTAAAACAACGATCATATGATTTTATATTCCCATCACCACTTTACTCTTTTTATTATCGTATTTCAGGACCAAAAAAATGAATCACAAATATTAGCAAGCCAACCAATCAAATGTACTAAATTATCTTCGAGGCATAAGATTATATTTCTTATAGGTCTTTATCTTATTTCCACAATATGCATCAACAGTTTAATCTACACAATATTTGCATTCCTCAAGCGTTTCTTAAGTGAAAAATATAGTGGTATTAGAATTTGAATTTAATTAAAATTAATGAGTTCAATGAAATGTAGAAGAATATCATTATGTTAAGATTGCTATAGTTTGTACCGCTGCTGCCACCTTAATCTTACCCTTTTTAGAAGTTAAATACCAATACTGAGTGCATTAATCAAAGTTTATGTAAAATACAATGAAATTTGCCAATCACCTTTCTTAAGTATTTTAAAATAATTGAAAAGAATATTCTAACCCCCTAAATAATTCCAGAAATTGATATCATTACGCTTATTGTAACAAGGTAGCAGCCTGAAAGGTTCNGAGATTAATTCTTATTAACTATTGGCTTCAAAATGGTTGAGACTTCAGAATATAAATGTACTTAAATGATTGATACCATAAGTTAAATAGAAATTCAGCTAATCATTTTTCAATTCAACCATTATTCTAATTATTCCTTAAGTCATAATCATTGCTACTTAATTCAGTGATTTATTTAGTTGTTTCTATAGCTGACTGAATTTAAAATGTGGTTTGTTGTTTGATATTTTTCTTGGTTTGATTGAGCACTTCCAAATTTCTGAACCACATGCTTCATTAATAAGGAACACGCCAAACTAGGGTAGACTTTCTTTGTAATACTAAGAGTTCAATTTATAACTGAATTAAAGGTTTTAATAACATTTTTATTGTTGATTCAAATTTTGTTATTTTATTAATAATAAGATTGAAAAGAGATCTCAAATCATGGCTATCCCTAAAAAACCTAAAATCTCAAATAATATTTATTATAGGTCAGATTTAAGAAGTTGACTAACATATTAAGAGATTCATCATATCGATAATCGGAAATATATGCTTTCTTAACTATAATAATCAATTTTAATATAAAAATTAAAAGAGCAACTATCTACATCAATAAGATTACAGTAATCACATTATTAAATTAAGATTTGATTCCTTTACCTAGCTTGCATTAAATTAAAGTATAGAAAATACGAATATTTGCAGTTAAAACAACGATCATATGATTTTATATTCCCATCACCACTTTACTCTTTTTATTATCGTATTTCAGGACCAAAAAAATGAATCACAAATATTAGCAAGCCAACCAATCAAATGTACTAAATTATCTTCGAGGCATAAGATTATATTTCTTATAGGTCTTTATCTTATTTCCACAATATGCATCAACAGTTTAATCTACACAATATTTGCATTCCTCAAGCGTTTCTTAAGTGAAAAATATAGTGGTATTAGAATTTGAATTTAATTAAAATTAATGAGTTCAATGAAATGTAGAAGAATATCATTATGTTAAGATTGCTATAGTTTGTACCGCTGCTGCCACCTTAATCTTACCCTTTTTAGAAGTTAAATACCAATACTGAGTGCATTAATCAAAGTTTATGTAAAATACAATGAAATTTGCCAATCACCTTTCTTAAGTATTTTAAAATAATTGAAAAGAATATTCTAACCCCCTAAATAATTCCAGAAATTGATATCATTACGCTTATTGTAACAAGGTAGCAGCCTGAAAGGTTCTTAATAAATTTCTTTTTAGATCTATGATATGTCATATTTGTTGATTTTGGAATAACAAAAAATTGTTCTGGTTTTCAATTGAGGAAGTTAAGATTTAAAAATACTCAATAAATAAATTTACTTAAATAAATGATATTGTTCTAGGTTATTCAATTAAATTTACGAAGATGATGGCATTTACTTTTCAAGATATTATGATTGAGTAATACAGGGCTTCTTCCATTCTGAGATTTTATTGGTAATTTATGATTTATAAAATAGAAATTAGGGAGGTTTGGTTTAATTTAGTTTGGATCATGGCTTGGTTTCCATTAAACATAATTGAGACTAATTTGCTTAAAATTATTTTTTTACTATGTATTTGGAATACTAAAATTGGGAACTTTTTGATGTTAGGTTTGGATTATAAAATCTCATCCCAGAAGACGTTGCCTTAGGTGGGTTGAAGAACAGAAATAATTAGCACTTTTTGTAGAATTAAGTTTACAATAAAGAATGGGAGAATATTTCATTACAAAAACTTCATATATTAAATTTTAGAGTATTTGATTGGAGTGGGTAATTGTTTCCTCAATTTTTATTGATCTATTAATCAAAAATGCTGTTTGACCATTATAATTAAATATTACTTTTGTAAATAAACTAAAATTATGTAAATTAAAGTATTTATCTCTGATATCATTTTATCGGCAGCATATTATGCAACCATTACTTTTCTCAGATTATTAGCAAAACTTTTGCTAGGTTCCCTAAGTTGATAGAATAATAATCCTCTTCACTATATGCAGGTCTATTAAGAGAAATGTATTGATTTCTTAAAAATTAATCATTATGTTGAAACTTTGGCTACTCCTCCCATCCCTTAAATTTCATGGATGAGTTTATTCTACTTTATTCTCTTCATTCAACATCAAATTATTTTTAATTTGTGATCGTTTATTTTTGCTATAATCAAATCTAGCAGTCTTATAATGGAGCATTAATAAGTATTAAAGGGGTCTTAATTTAATAGATTCTTTATCATCAAATTCTGTACAATCTATATAAACTTGCTCATCCTGAAAAATGGAATAGTATGTTAAGCATCCTTTGAAAATGTCTTTTTTCATTTAAGTCATTATTTAATTGAGTAGTTTGAAATAGCTTTACTAATTTTTCAACTCGATTCTGGAATGATGCTCAAGGCTTTTTTGGGACTGCTGTAAGACTACCATCTTTAGTGTCTGAAACAAAAGGTATTAAGCTTAGTTTTTCAAATTGAAATTTTTATCCTACTTATTTGAATCTAAGATCAAATGTAATCCCTTGTTATTTAACAACAAATTTTATTTCACTTTAGAAAATATCTTTGATTCAGTTAAGAGATTCTTCGCTAAATAATATTGGTTCAGCTAATGCGAGAGATTTCTTGGAGCAACTTTCCGTATGAAATCATTAACAATTACTTTATGTAACTGACTGAGTGCCAGTTCCTAGTTATGCCAAATTTATCGAAAATTATGTATTTAGGATTATATCTAACTCCATTCAACTTAGCATCCTTTAATTAATGTTATGTGGGTAAATTAAACTCATATACTTTTAAATTCCTCTAAAGGAATCAACGAAATCTATAGATTTATTTTCCAAAACTATGATCAAAGTAACAACCCTTTTCTATATTTTTGAAATTGAATGATTTTCAAGAGAATTTGACTATAACAAAAATTGCTCCGTTTAACTTAGTTTTAGTTTTATTTAATATGTTAGGTTTACTAGAAATTTCTTAAAATAATGGATAACAAAATTTGGCCCAGCAGTAAAGAATTAATGCTTGACCTGAATTATATCTATTTAATGAATTCCCATTTTATATTTTCAATTGTTTCTATTTATTCTCCCTCCAATAGTAACTTATGATTTTAATCATTCAATAATTAAATCAATAGTATCTTGAATTTCACCATTTTCTTATTAATCAAATTATTCAAGATATTCTTAAAATTAATTCAAACCAGTTTGATAAATGTCTAAAGAAATTTTTCACATTTAATTTTGAAGTTGTTTTTAGATATTTCTTCATTTCTTAGTGCAAGTCAAATTTAAAATTTAGAAGGTTGAGAAGGAGATGATAATATCTCAACTTTGCCTTCAGGATTTGAAATCTAGCTTTTATTCACCTAACTTAAGATCTCTAATTTTAAAGTTCTTTAGAGTTTGATGAAATTTAGTTTATTAATTTAGAATAAATTTAAATAAAACAAAATTATCATTAAATTAATTTATATTAATAAAACAATATATACTACTATTATAAATACGAATATTATAAAGATGTAGCATAAAATTATTAAAGTAATTAGACTTAAAAAAAAATGAATATTATTACTAATAAGTAATTATTACAAACTTAACATAAGTTAAAATTTAGTGCTAAGTTTGGAATTCAAAACCAATTTATGATTGATGTTATTAAACAATAAATTCATAATTCTTAATATTTCCTAATCTAATATTCTTTCGAATTAGTATCCCAAGTGATCAGATACTACCCATCATCAGTCATATATCCATATGTATCCCAAGTTTGTAATTGAATAGATTACTGGATTATAATCTCAGCATTTTGTTTTATTCTTATTAAATTCACATTTGAACCATTTTTATTTACAAGAATACATTTTGATTTTATATATTATTAAGGAAACAAACAGCAATCTTAACCACCTTTTACAGGAATATCCTTTGTCTTGGTAAACTATTTATTCGAACTACTCATCTCATAAATATCCATGTGCTCTTTCTACCAAGGCTAGAATGTGAATTAATTGTTATCTATAAAGCATAATCGAACTCCACCTATTTCAACTGTAATCTTTTATATAACAATCCATTATTTATACTATTCTGATTGTTCCATTACCAATATCAAATTATCATTTCCACAAGAAATTAATTTATCTTATGATTCATTTAAACTTAATGCATATACAAAATCATTATGATCAGCGATTGTCTATGCACACAACCATTGATTCTACTTCTACCAAAATTTAATTCTATTATCACAGCCACCAGATACAATAAGATCTTCATTATCATTTATAATTAAACAATAGATATACTTTTAATGTCCAGTCAATTTGTATTAACAAATCCATGTATTATTTTCATTTCTTCCCCAAATAATTATCTATTTATCACCACTCCCAGATATAAACTAATCCTATCTCTTCATGAAATTCAAAGTATAAATATAATCATGATGTTCCTATAAAAGGGAAACGTTTTTCAAGTTTCCTTATTTAAATTCAAACACTTTAATTGATCTTCCATATCCAGCAACCAATATTGAACAATCCTTATTAACAGCAATTGCATTACAAGATTCAGTCTATTTTTTTGAGTTCTATTATATTAATTAATAAGTAAATGGTTTTAGATTTAGTTGTTCGTTGTTTTTTAGTTGAGTTTAAATATTAGTTTTGATTAAAGGGGTCATTTGTGAAATGATTTATTATGAGAAATCGTTATTTTTAAATTGAGGTAAAATAATAGAAGTAAATTTTGGTACATCTGATGATACTTCAGATGGTTAAATGTTGATCAAACTACGTTCATCATTGAAGAGTTGATCAAGTTATGCATCAATTCTGTTGAATGATCCCTATTATATTAATTAAATTATTATTTTACCTCAACTTCTTATTGCAGGCTTACTAAGATTGCTTCTGCTTTACTCTTTTATTCTTACTTTATTGAATCTATTTTTCTCATCTTAAATAATTCTTTAATAAATAAATTTTCATAATTCAAACAACAGAACTATAATTCAGAATATTTTTTTTGAAATGAACAAAATAAATAAAAAGATGGTAATGGCCGACTTATATTTTTCATTTTTAGGTTTCCTTTGGATAAATCGTAAAATAATTAATTATTAAGGTTAAATCATCATCAAATCAGGTATTTTGATAAATTCTAAAATGAAATTATAAGAATAGGCTAACAATTTAGCTATGATTGCATTTGAAAGTAATCTAGCCGTAGCTTAAAAACATAAAATTCTCGAATTTATTAGGTGATATTTCAACTTATTTATACCCTAGAAACAGATGTCATGTCTAAAAACCTAAAGAAATTGATAAAATAGAAATCTATTGCGTTTTAGATCATTTTATTTGTTTTAGAAACTAGAGAGTAACCATTTAAATCAAATCATCCTATATTAAGAATTTACGAATTAAATGAAGAATTCTTGACCTTTTACTTAAAAAATAGAAATACTCTTTTTGATAGGAAAACTAATTCTGAAAGTATTAGAAAATATCAAAGTCTTTAACAAATAAATATTGCCTATGAATTAAAAAACAAAGTTTAAAGTTCATAGCAATTTAAAAAATAAGTTCTTAATATATAGAACTAAAATTAACACATTTATTAGTGTTTATAATTGAAAATGAATGATAATCGGAATTTATTCAATATTCTTATCATGTATGTTTTCGTGAAAATAGAATTCTGTAAACTGAAGGATATTGCTATAAGAGGAAGAGTTATTTTTTATCAACTCCTTGAAAATATTAACTTTCTTTTTTGAAAATTAATTTAAAATTGATTTTTTATTAATTAATGTTTAGATTATAAGTTTATTTATCTTAAAGAAGATTGAATGTAATATAACGTAATTAAACTAATGAAAATGGATTTTTAATATCTTAAAACTCCAAAAATATATTGGGATAAATCTCAAACAATTTAAGGCTGTTAAGTAGAATTACAAACTTACCATGCTTTCAAATTACTTTAAATAAATAAATAAATGGGATTTCTATACTAATTTAGCCTTCAGCCATACAGTTACTATTATCTTAACTATCTCTGAATAGATAAATTACTAGGAGTAAGGGAGTTTCAAATATGATAATATATATAAATGGCTTTATTGTTGAGCATCTTAATTCAAGTTTCTACATTATCTATAAACATATTGAATATTTTTGTTTGATAGAACAATAAGATCTTGAAGAATTAGGACTCTATAAAATATTCCACATTCAGCCATCCTTTTTTTCATTTTCAGAATAACTTTATAAAATTAAATCATAGTCATTCAAACTCAAATATATGCTCAAAAACATAACAGGATTTATTCACACCTTTCACTTAGTTTGAGTTTGCAATATTAGCATAGAGAATAAAGGTTAAAAGGAATTTAAGATTTAGAATTGGATCATCAGTACAAAGAGGAAATAGATTTGATTAAAACCAACACATATAAAAATTCATAATATTAATCTTATATCATAAATACTTGATTTTAGAATCAATATTATATTGTTCATATTAACAAAATTTAATAGTAACCTTCTGCCACAGATATCTGTTTAATATAATCAAATATGGAGGATAAATTGCAGGACCTTTATTTATGAAGTAGTCAAATACGATTGAAGAGAAAATAAATAAGGAGTATAAGGTATCTAAATACTGCAGAATATTTCATCCAATTTACACTTTTCTCTTAAAAAGTTTTGCATATAGATAAATATTTAAGAATATCGCAAACTAAATTTATCTATTATCTTCAAAGCAGAATGGTACAAAAAATAAATTAGGACTTTATTTATGATGATAATGCCAAAAAATGATAGGAGAATCTAATAACTCATTTACTTTTATCAGTCTGACTTTAATTTAAAATATCCTAAAAGGAAATGATTTAATTATACAAGATGATTATGTAGTGAAGAAATATAATTAAGAAAGTTTCATATGATTTTTTCATTTCTTTGGGATCAATTTTTATCAAAAAGCCACTAATCTTTCTTATCATTCTGCAACTCTGAAAAGGATATCAGAAGATTCGATGCAAATTT